ACACACGCAATGCTTTTATGTTTTATGCAAAAATGGGTGATGTTAAGGTGTTTGTTTTTGTGAGGTTCTGAACTTGACAAAAGCATAATCGCTGTTATCCAGTGATATATATGTGATCGTTTTTTATGAAAATCCGGTTAATTTTTATGGTCCGGTAACTGTTGGCTTGTGCATATATTTCTGTTCTGAAAGATGCGTTTTTTTTCCGGTTCGAATCTTTGTTGGAAGTATTAAACTCCGGTCATATTTTGCTACCTGCGGAAGAAAAAGGCGTTCGGAAGTAGCCCTGCGAATAACATTTGCCAAATAGAACTACATATGACTCCAAAGGACTCTTTCCCCGGAAGGATTGCTTAGAAACAAACTGATGACGGATTTAATCCCTGGGGCATATGCCAGTACCAATTTACCATCAAAATGAACGAATGAATTCGTGGGGCGAAACCGAACCCTCACTATCTAGCATTTTTTACCACCTTGCTATGGTCAATTGGTATATTTTGGTATTTTTAAGCTGCTAGTTACTCGTTATGTTCATAAAACCAAAATCAAGTAGAAAGCGAGTAATCGGAACACTTCAAGGATTATTTCTGCAAAAAAAGGATAACTGAGTTTTCGACTGTTATGTTCTCTTTCCCTCCCTGGCCGGACTTAGTCTTGCGAGATGACGGCATATGGAACTCGATGAATTTGTGCAGAGCCACCGATGGCCCTTTTCCATTAGTTTAGGTTGCATTGTTTCGGTTCGTTTGTTATTCTGGATTTTTAAATAAAAAAGATTTCATTGAGACTGGACACAGTACCTGCGAAAACATTTATTTCTTCGGACGTCGTGTAGCAAAAGCAGTCATTTTTAGAGGCCAATCCCAGCTTTCTCCCCTTTATTTTACAGAATGTGAAATAGGAAAACGGGAGGGAGGGTAGGAATGGCAGAACAAAGTACCTGAGTGAGGGGGCTCGAAAATTCACGATCTCAAAGAGCTGTCCATACTTTTATTGAAAGACGGAGAAATTTGAAAAGAAGTGTACCCGTAGCTTATGCTTTACCAAGGATGCTGGTATTTACGTAGTACTAATCTCGAACCCCAGACATATCACCGAATTTGTGATACCAAAAAAAGTGCTTAACCTTTGAGAACCGCTTTTTCGCAGATCTCAAATTTCTATATAAATACCAAGAACATGAGGATTACCCAAACAGTTGTTTTGGGTATCCCATGTTAGTGATTTGACCGGATTGATTCTGCATGCCGGAAATAGCTGTGGAGACATTGGTTGCAAGTTGATTTTTACTGCATTTGGCAATTTTAAGCACGAATATTTTACGAAAAAATCGGAGTGGAGGGAATTTTGTGATTTTAGAAAGCTTCAATTAAACATGCGAAAATGTAGAAAACATTAATTCTGATAATTTCTTCCTGAAAAGTTATTTCTTCATTTGTGTTTTGAGAATCCTGTTCTAATTCGTTTATTTTTCCTTCAAAAATGCGTAGCTTTTCAATCTACCTCGAAGTTTCCAAGCATCACGTACCAATTCTCAAATTTGTGTTATTAAACCGAAAAAAAAATCAATCACATCAACAACGAACCATGTATCGCACATACATTACAAAGCAACTGACGGC